TTCCCATATCTTCTCTTCCCAGGAGATAGGCGAGAAGATATGTAAGGCCCTTACACATTTCCCCGCCCAGCTCTTAGCAACCTGGGACGCTCTAGGCGGCAGGCACACTGCAAACATTGCCATGCGGCTCTGCCTATTACCCCCCCGCCGCATGACCCAAAGAGATGCCACCTTAAGCAACGGTCTCAAGCCGCCTCATTATAGAGATGACCCTGCTGCTTAGATTTGCTCCACCGGCAATTTGATAAATCTGAAACTGTGGGTCTGATTATGCACCATGGATCACCAGTGTTATTAGGCAAATCCTCCCAGATTCGATTCGCCAAGGGTTCCTCAAATCTTGATCAAAGTTTGATGAACCTGAACTTAGAGGCTCATCCCACTGATGTCTATGGGGTTGCGCAAATCTTGTTGTGAAATTCTGGCCAATTATAGGGCTAATAAGAAAATAAGCAACTACTGTCAAAAAAGGGATGTGAAGCTGGGCACTGCTATAGGGGACATGTACCAATGCAGAACAATTTAAAAAAATATACCATATAACAGGGAAAGGATCTTGAGGGGCAACATTGAAACCCACAAACCCTTTAAATAACATGCTGGAGGGATGCCTGGAAAAGTGGTGTTATGGAACAGTCCGATTTTCATGAGCAGTCTCAGCGACAGCATAAACGGACAGCACATGTTTGGCTGTAGATTTGATTTTTTTTCTTTCTTTTGAAATTAGCTTGGCTCACATACACAGCAGCACCCCAATCTGATTAATTTCAGCTTTTTTTCAGTGAGCTTTAGGCCTCATTCAGACAGCGTAGAATCGGGCCGTACAGATCCGTGCGGCGTGCATGGCCGTATCGGGCCATTCCTGAGAGGGAAAGGTGCTGCGTGCGATTGCGTGCAGCAGCCTGTTCTTCCCTATTGGAGGATGAAGCCGTACGCCTACCCGAGCTGAAAATCCGTGCGGGTGCGAGTGTCCATACCTGGATGCAGACAGGATGGATCCTGTCTGCGTCCGAGCACAGACACCCGGACACGCACGGATGTGCAATTTGGGTGTGCATATGACAGCGTACAGCCGCATCCTCCCATAGGAAAGATCAGGCTGCTGCACGCAATCACACGCAGCACCTGTACCTCCCCGGGAATGGCCCGACGCGGCCGAGAACGCCGCAAGGATCTGTACGGCCCGATTCTAGCTGTGTGAATGAGGCCTTAGCAGCAATATGTTTTTTCATCAAACAGTAATAAGCCGCTTTGACCAGCAAATACAAATTGGCCAGTAGTTTGATGTCCCTTTCGTCGCTGATGCCAAACCTGAATCCCTACCCTATTCAAAATTAAAAAGATTTGATTTTTAGACATACATATTTTTTTTTTTTTTAATAGTTGGGTAACAAACCTTTCCAAAGCTCCCTTTTCCAATCACTTTCAGGAAGTCAAAATCAGTAGGTTTGGCACTGCAGAGGATGACACAAAAGATTATTTCTGCTTCAGAACTTGAACATAAATAGAAGGCATTGATAGAATTTATGAATGAGTTTGCAACAACATTTCTCATACTAAAATCTCACTAACTGCAAAGTTTTATCTGTGCTATGCGCCTTTTTTTTAAAGCAGAGCTCCAGGCAAAAGTGTTCTCAACCCTTGTAGTGGGGCTACCCCCTACTCATTTTTGGAGCCAGCTGGCTGCTACTTCAGTCCCTGAAGCAGTGGTATGTCCCCCAGGGTCCTCATGTCCAAAACACTGTGTATAGAATGTCATGACTCAAGGATCCTTAGATCATTGGAGTGGAGGGGGAGAGATCCTCCAAGAACCGGTCTAAGAGCCAGACGGCTCTGAGGATCAGGTGAATATAACTTTTTTATATTAGCCCATAGTCCAAGAGCACTTAACCCTTGCACTGTGGGGGTAGCCCCACTGCAAGGGTTAAGAACACTGTTGCCCAGAGTTTTGCATTAAGTGTTCTTGCAACATTTTAATGTTTGCGACTCACTGCACATTTTGCAAAATGTCTCAACTGCGCAGTAATTACGTCCAGAATTTGCGACATTAAAAGACCTCCAAACTGTTGCACATCCTAGAAGTGGTTCTGAGCACCTCTTAAAATAGCACTAAGATAACTCAGCTTCACACCCTCAAATCACCTAAGTACTTCAGGGCTATTCAGCTATCCTCCCAACTTTCATACAATTTTCAGACAATTCTCCTTTCCAGGACATTTAGGAATGAGAAATAAACTAGGGTAATATATCTGTCGCTATATGTGCTAGAAATCCGGAATGCGACAGTCTAAAACAGCATTTCTCAACAAGGGTGCCTCCAGGCTTTGTCAGGGGTGCCTTCAAATTTTGGTTCTTGATGCTAAGGGGGTTCTTGATGTGAAGGAAGCTTTTGATGTGAAGGGAGCTTTTGATGTGAAGGGAGGCTCCTGATGGGAAAAAGGTTCTTGATGTGAAAGGGGGTTCTGATGCAAAGGGGGGGTTCTGATGTGAAGCTGGGGTCCTGATGTGAAGCGGGGACTCTGATGTGAAAGAGGAGTCTCTGATGTGAAAGGGGTACTCTGATGTAAAGGGGCTCCTCATTTGAAAGGGGACTTCTGATGTGAAAGAGGGGACTCTAATGTAAGGGACCTCCTGATATAAAGGGTAGCTTCTGAAAGGGTAGCTTCTGATGTGAAGGGAGGACTCTGATGTAAAAGTGGAGACTCTAATGTGAGGGAGACTCCTGATGTGAAAGAGGGGACTCTGATGTGAAGGGGTAAACACCATGTCATCTATTTTGTTTTTGCCTGGGATCACCCTGAAAATCCATACTAGACCCCTTTATAGGACAAAGGTTTTGTATTAATTTTGGGAAGGGAGAAACCACACTTTGTTTTTTTTACTTTTATGGGTTTTTTTTTTACATACAGACTGGGATGCCTTGAGATTTTGCATATTCTTAAAGGGTGCCATGACTGAAAAAAGGTGGAGAAACGCTGGTCTAAAAGACACTGATAATGCAACCAAATTGATAAATGTCCTCCAATTTAAAGAATAATCAACTTTGAATTGTAGCTACTGCCATAGAAAATAAATTGTGCTTGGTTGTTGGGGGGGAGGTCTACATTTTCCATTATAATCTGTACGTTATGGAATAATGATAATGTCTACAACACCATCTGGTCATTCCAAAAGGTATAAGGAAACCTATAGATTGCAGGCTCATGCCAGGTTAGATTATAATATATCTCTTCCTATACACACTGAACCCTAACCAAAGTATTCTGCCTTCTCTAAACCAGTTTGACCACAAAACTCTTTTTTTTCAAATACCAGACGTTCTGTACAGCCTGTTATGGGGAGGGTACTGTGCACTCACTTGGGATTGGCCGAGGGGCCCAGGTTGATCGTTGACGTCATGATGGAAATGAAGTGGAGTCTTTCACCTGTTCTTGTCTCGGTGTCATCCAGTGAACTGTAACGTGAAGAGTTTGGATTCCTTTGCAGTTAACCACAAACGCAGCAAGAAGGGGAAGGCAGGAAGTACAATTCAAAATGACAGGCGTGTATCAGTAAACACATTTTTTAGTCACTGTTATTTTTAAATCTGGGTTTATAAGAGGGCAAAAGGGGCAATTCTAGGGTTGCCACCTTTTCTTCAAGCGAAACCCGAACACTCTAGAGATGCGCAGACAATTTTTGGGGAAAATTAGTTGTGGCTTATTCATATGTAAATAGCGCCACCCATTCATATGCAAATATTACAGGTGAGACTATTTTCAGTGGGGGGCCAGTAGCCCCTATCTTGATTTTGGTTGCCCCTGTCTGCCTGACATCTTGTGTCTGGGTTTCTGCTGCCATGAAACCCGAACAGACAATTCAAAACCCGAACTGTCCGGGTGAATCCTGGACAGGTGGCAACCCTAGGCAATTCCCCAGGCCCCCTGCAAGAAGGGGCACTCTCTATACAAAAATAAAATCATTAAGTATCTTTAGTTAATAATTACTTTATTTTATTAAAATGTATCTTGAGCAGAATAGACATCGTACAGCAAATTGCCACTGATAAATAAGTATCTGAGATCCACCATGACCCGTAAAAGGCTAAGTGCTCTGTGCCTACTGGATGTAGAGAGCAATGTTCTAAGGAAGATGTAGTTTGAGGAGTTCATGAAAGATTTTTAATATGCCAAGTGTAGAAAAAAAAGTGTTTGTAGATTCTTAGTGAGATGCATATAGCTCAAGTTTGTAAAACTAAAGCTGGCCATACACAGATGGAACACCCGATTCCCTCATTCATGCTAACAAACGTGTAAGGCTATAGCCGGAAGTTTGTGTGCTACGGCGCAGGTCCCAGCTTTCACGTATTATCGGAAAACATGCGCCAAAGCAAATGTGCATGCAATGTAACAGATGTGCTGACGTGGCACACAGGAAGTGGCACGTCTTCCTCTGATTGATGACTCTAATTAAACTGGCCTGTTCTATTGATCAGTGCTGAATAGTCTTTTAAGCTTGTGTTCCTGTGCTGCTAGTTTGATTACCTGTTGCCTTGACCCGGATTGCTTTGACTACAACTGATTGCTGCCAGGCCTTGACCTCTGCTTGTTCCTGGATTCTGTCTCTGCCTGCCCCCTTGCTACTGTGCTGACCGTCTGGCTTTGACCTAGGGTTGCCACCTGTCCAGTATTCACCCGGACAGTCCGGGTTTTGAACGCTGTGTCCGGGTTTCATGGCAGTAGAAACCTGGACACAAGATGTCAGGCAGAAAGAGGCAACCAAAATGAAGATAGGGGCTACTGGCCCCCCACTGAAAATTGTCTCAACTGTGATATTTACATATGAATGGGCGGCAATTTTTATATATGAATAAGCCAGCACTCATTCTTCCAAAAAAATGTCCACGCGTCGATTGAGTGTTCGGGTTTTGCTTGAAGAAAAGGTGGCAACCCTACTTTGAACCCTGGCTTGGCTCCAGTTCCTGCTGCTGACCACTCTGATCCCTCAGCTGTCTACCAGCCCTGCCTACCTTCTATCACGTACCTGGTGGAGGACCGATTGGCTGAGGAGGCCTCCCTTGCGGCTCATGTCTCACACCCATGAGAGTGGGAACAGGTAGCGAGTAGACAGAGAGGAGCACGGGTGCCAAAGTGTTCAGACACGGTGCCTGGTAGAAGTCCGGCCACTAGGTCCCTGGAAGGATGAGCAGGGCTGGTTGGGAGCTGAGATGTCAGCGAGGATTGCAGTGGAAACTGGAGCGATGTCAAACAAGCCAGGGGTCAAGCCAGACGATCAGCACGGTACAAAAGGAGCAGGCAGAGGCAGAATCCAGATAACAAGCAGAGGTCAGGGGCAGGCAGCAGACAATCAAGGTCAGCAGCAAAGCGAATCAAGGCAACAGGCAAACCAACCGCAGGAACACAGAGCACAAGCTGAAAGACCATTCAGCACTGATCCATTGGTCAGCTGGTTTAAAAAGAGCATTAGATTAGAGAGCAACGTGTCACTTCCTGTGCGCCACTTTCCATTGTGAGCGCGTGCGCACTAGCACACATTTTCTGGCAAACCCGGGAGGCTGGAACTCGCGCTTGCACAGTAGAGCGCGAACTTCCAGCTACGCCCTTACACCTTCCCAGAGAACCTGTTGCTGGACTCTGCCAGGCACTGGGCCTAAACACCATGGCACCCGTGCTACTCTGTCTGCTCGCGCCCTGTCCCCACTTCTAGGGGTGTGAGAAAAGAGCCACAAGGTACATGATAAAACGTGGATGGGGAATCTACCCTGCCGGCTATTGTATTCCATTTAAGGAGTTTAATAAAGATTTTTCAGATGCCATGTAGAAAGAAAGAGGTTTTTGTTGAGCCTGATGGTGCTGGAAGGGCCACCCATGGATCGAATTTTGGTGGATTCAGCAGGAAACAAAAATTTGATCCATGTATGGCCAGCTTTACTGTACTTAGCTTAGATAATCTATAAACTTTTGCATTGAAAGGTTTGGAGTTTAATTTTGTTCTGTAAATTGTTGAGTCATTGTTATCTATGGAAACTAAAGTGTACAAAGCAGCATAGCTATGTTCTTTGTCGTTTATCTTACCTGGAATCTACTTGGAGTTTTACTGGTATGTATTTACATCTATACATGTAATTCCTTCAGATATATCTAACTCTTTAACTCTTTCTTGTATGTATGACTTATCAGTTCCAGTGATATGCTTTATTGTGTAAATTTGGTGATTTGCCAATTCCTGTGTATGAGGGGCCCACTGAACCTTATGTATCCCAGGTGCCCAAGGGCTGAAATCCAGCACTGCTGCCTACCCAGTTCTCATAAAACCTGTCAGAAGCCATAAAAGCCCTACCTTCTCCACAGCAACCACTGGCCCTGGATCACATGGTGGATGCTCACAGGTATTTAGTCATGTGATTTAGGCAGGGTGAGAATCAACATTTAGGTTGGTTGCTCTTCCCCTGCAGCAGAATTATAATTCATCCAGTGCCAAGGCATTTTGTTGCACCCTTTGCCACCCAAAGCTGTGATGGCCACATATGATGTTGTTAGCTTAGACATAATGCATCCATTTCTTGTGTTTTATGATGGTAAGTAAATTACATTTACATCTACCAATGGAAGCTGAAGCAGAATAAAAAGCCTGCTCTAGATATAAAGTGCAGGTACTAGTGGCAAATCGTTGTCTAATAGTGGTGACGTTTACCCACCCCTACTGTCTCCGGTACATGTCTGTTGGTCATTGAGTCAGCCTATTGTAGTGATGGGCCAATAGGAATGTGTAAGAATAGAAAGCAGTGGTAAGTTCCGACACTATCTACATGTGTCAGAGCTTTCCATGTCAAACCATTCAACATTATTCACTGTAAACACAAGGTATTGGAGGCTGCTGCAGGTACGTACAGGAACATCAAGTTCTTAAAACAATGCACCGCGCTGAACCTCTCTTAACAATATCAAACAAAAAGTGTGTCTAAATACTGAAAACAAATACACCCCTATGAGAAAGGTCATATACTTTGTAAACTTAATAAAATCAAACTCCAATAAATAATTTGAATCCAAGGTGATAAAGTTCAAAGTGTAAATTTCTTATGAGACTGTGAACTTTATCATCTTGGATTCAAATGATTTATTGTTTTGATATATTGTTAAGAGAGGTTCATTGTTTGAAGAATTTCACACTACATAGTTGGCTTGGCAGCGGACTTTATATATTTAATTTTGACACTTAGCTTATTGGTATCCATTTAGCGCGGATTAGCTGTTGTAAAAAAAGGAAGATCAAGTTGCCTGCACTATATACCTGCAGTAGTTTTTTCTTTTTGTAGACAGTATCACTTTAGAGAAACCCAGTTGACCTCTACAGAATTCCTATTTAAAGTTCCCTTCCATAGTAGATGTATTATACTCACCTTTCTAGCGGCCCATGTTGCTTACCTCCTCTCCAGAGATGTAGCCTCCATAAGACACTCCATTGTTCAACACTTTCAGGAGTGGAGTGTCAGATGTCTGTGTTCTCTGATGCTTGCTGTACTTCCTTCCTCTGACCCTTGTGTTGTTACAGGACACAGCAGTAACTTAGGGGTCAGGGAAGGAACAACAACACATGGTGGGCAACACAGGAATCTGACACATCCAGAAGTGTCAAATCCTGAAGAGTCTGATAGAGGTTGTATTGGACAGAACATGGGCTTCTAGGGAGGCAAGTACAGGTGAAACTCGAATAATTAGAATATCGTGCAAAAGTAATTGCAGTAAGTGCTGCAAAAGGGGCCCAAACCAAGTACTGAGTACATATGCATGCTTGTACTTTTCAGAGGTCCGATATTGTTCTATGTACAATCCTTGTTTTATTGATTGCATGTAATAATCTACTTTTTTGAGGTTGTGGATTTGGGGTTCTTGGGGTTTTCATGAGCTGTAAGCCATAATCACCACAATTATGACAAATCACGGCTTGAACTATCTTGCTTTGCATGTAATGAGTCTATCTCATATATTAGTTTCACCTTTTAAGTTGCATTAGTGAAATAAATGAACTTTGCACGATATTCTAATTATTCGAGTTTCACCTGTATATTAGCTCTTCAGGGGAACTTTATACCTTTTTGCAGTGAACTTCAGGTAGGAATTGTCTGATTGTCTGATACATACTAGGCACCGCAATCTATACTGTGATGTCAGCAGCCCCAGCAGACTCAGAGCTGTCACTCAAGTGACACTCTATAGAAAGGGTAGGCAAACTCCGGCCCTCCAGCTGCAGTGAATCTACAAATCTCATCATGCATCTGCCTCTGGTAAATATGCCTGTGGCTGTCAGAGTCTTTGCAAGGCCTTATGGGATTTGTAGTTGCACCACCACTGGAAGGCTGGAGTTTGCGTACACCTGATCTATAGTATAACGCTTCGCTTCTTCCCTGACAACTACATAACAGAGTTATGTAGGGAGGTGAAGGGAGGGGTG